ATATTTTAGCTTTGATGCAAAGCTAAGAAGATATTAATTTTTCATTGATGTGTTTTTTTTTGTCTCTGTTATCACTTTTTATAATCTCTCGCCGAACCGATACCATTGGCTAATGGTATTTCTATGAGAGCTGAGAAAAAGTGGTAACAGACACAAAAAAAAAACATATCATAGTAAAACCAATACTTTCTCAGCTTCGCATCGAAGCTAATAATCACAGACAAAATATTTTAGATTGTAACGGAACTGAAAATTAATTTATTTTAAAATAGTTTATATTTTTAATTAACTTCCAAATTACTTTTACCTCCGATGCAAAGATGAGAAGGTATTAATTTTATTATGATGTGTTTTTTTTTATTTTTTTTTATCTGTGTCTATGAACGCTCAATCTCAGCCTCTGGCTGGACTGATTTTCTTGAACAATACGTCAAAAGATGACAAATTGTATCAAGTCGAATACATTACCCTCAAAAATTGAAAACATTTAAAATACTTTGAATTGTCAATCAAATATTCGTTAAATATTCGTTCATTATGTATTTTTATTACAAGTTTATATATTAAACAATGGTTTAGTGCACCAATGCTGCATTAGCGCCAAATTTAGATTTACAATTAATTAAAAATATAATTGATTATGAACCAATAAATAAAGATATTTCTAAAGTAGTTTTAAAAAAAAATTATATACAAAAAAATTATATAAAAATTACATACATATGTATAATATGCATTGTATATTTATTCATATATTACACTTATAAATCATAAAACTTGTATACAGAATATAGATAAGGAAATAGAAGATCATGTAACTTTTGAAATAATACACCATTTTTTTAAAATTAAACTATCTACATATTTGCATCTAAGCGTATTTTATGATAGTGATTTTAATCACTGTTAGATATCATTAGTCATTTGGTCATACTTGACCAAACTGTGACACATCCCCACTGTGTTGGGTTTTTTTTAATTAAAATTGCCACAACTTTTTTTGTTAATAACAACATTTCTAAATAATATAGTTAATAAGTAAATGAGTTTTTGTGAAACATTGTCAATAGCTGAATAGGTACCCTTATCACAACTGTAATTCAGATTTAATAAAAATAAATAGAAAATAATAACAAACCATGTTTAAACAATAATTATAATTGTTTTTTAAATTTGATAACAGATATGACTTTTGGACCAGTTTTTAAGAAGTTATTAATAATTTATAGTAATGACTTGTAATGAGGAGTGGGTGCTGCAATTTTTATTACTATTCATTTTCCGACCGAAAACTGTGTCCTGTCTAGATATAAAAATGAGAATAACTTCCAAAGTACTGGTCCAAAAGTTGTTATTAATCAGTAATTTTCTTAGTTAGATTATTTTTTATTTTTTAAGCTAGTTAACCCAACCAAACATGCATATTTATGCATGTTGTCTTTAAAAAAAATTAATTTGACACCCTTTAAGTTATAAGGGATGAATCTAAAAAGTAAAAATTAGTTGATAAATCAAGAAATATGTATAATTAAAAGAATTCAAAACATTTTTTTCAATGTTTTTTTTATATTTAATAACAAATTATCTTCTTCTGCCTCGCCTTAATCCCAACTACTTGGGGTCGGCCACTCTTATCCTAAACTTCCACTTGTCAGGATATCCACATCCTCTACGCTCACATCAGCTGTCCTCATATGACATTCAATAACATCTCTCCATCTCTTTTTTGGTCTTCCTCTACCACTTCTTTCTTCAACATTCATTTCTACAACTGTTCTTACGACTTCCGATTCTTACTTTCTTATCAACCGCCCAACACTCTGAACCATAAATTATAGCTGGCCTTATTACAGTCTTGTAGAATTTACCTTTCAGCCTCATTGGAATTCTTTTATCGCATAAGACGCCAAACGCTTCTCTCCACTTTAACCACTAGCATTTAATTCTGTGTCTTACATACTCGTCAATACCATCGCTCTTTTGCACAACTGATCCTAAATACTTAATACTATCCACCTCACCAATCACGTCCTCGCCTATTGTCACTAGTCTCCTTATTTCACCTAACTCGTGTTTTCCTTTATCAAACTCGTACTCTATATACTCTGTTTTACTTCTACTTATTCTTAAACTTTTTTCTTCAAGAGCTGATCTCCACACCTCTAGCCTTTGATTAATTTCTTCTCTATTTTCTCCTATTAATACTATATCGTCAGCAAACAACATGCACCACGGCACCTCTCCTTGTATTTCTCTAGTAAATTCATCCATCACTATAGAAATTAAGTAAGGGCTTAAAGCAGAACCTTGGTGCACTCCTACTCTTACCCGAAAACCTTCTGTTACTCCTCTCACCCTTTTTACCCCGGTACAAGTGCCATCATACATATCCTCTATTATATTAATGTATATTTTCGGGACTCCTTTTCTTATTAATGCCCAATTTAGAACCTTTCTCGGTACTCTATCATACGCTTTCTCCAAATCTATAAATACCACACACAGCTTTTTCTTCTTTCCCTAAACTTTCCTGTTAGTTGCCTCACACAAAATAATGGCTCCATTGTTGACTTACCAGGCATAAATCCAAACTGGTTTTTAGATACCTATGTCTCATTTCTTATTCTCTTATCTATTACCTTTTCTCAAATTTTCATATTATGACTCATAAGCTTTATGTCTCTATAATTTCCACACTCCTGTATGTCTCTTTTACCTTTAAATATCGGCATCACAATACTATTTTTCTATTCATTTGGAATTTTCTCTTCTAATAAGATTTTATTTAAAAGTTCCTTCAACCTCTTGCACAACCTCCCACACCTCTTTCTCGCTAATTAAATCTACCAGTCCCTCATTCCACGAGATATCCTCTAATGTCTTTTTTGGATACTTCTCATTCTGTAAATTTTCAAAATACTCTTTCCACCTTTTTTTCACATCGTTATCATTTGAGAGTACTCTATTATCAACACTTTATAAACCTTATATAATGATAATCTTTAGTCCTTTTCTCTCTTACCTTTGCAAGTCTATAGATTTCTTTCTCGCCTTCCTTTGTTCCTAGGCTATCATACAACTCATCATACCTCTTTAACTTCGCCTTACTTACTGCACACTTGGCTTCTATGCACAAGCGTTTATACTTCATCCAATCTTCTCTCCTTTTGTTCTTCTGTCATACTTTGAATTGCTTTTTCTTACTTTCTATAATTTTTTGAACGTCCTCATCCCACCACCAGGTTTTCTTGTTTCCTAGCATTCTACTCCTACTCTCACCAACAATCTCCTTTGTAGTATTCTTTACACAACTAGCTAATCTATTTCATACATCGTTTATGTCTCCCTCGACATTCCACACCATCCTCTCTTTTAACGGTTTTATAAACGAAATAGAGTTTTTAACAAACTCTATTTCATTTTCCACCTCCGGATTTTCGATTTTTCTCCCGTGTTCCTTCTGTTTTTGTATATTCTATTTCCGGTACACCAAAACTCCATTATTATCAGTCTATGTTGTGTAGTTACACTCTCACCTGGTATAACTTCACAATCCTTTACTCGCTTTACGCTCTCTCTCTTCCACATAAAATAATCAATCTTTGATCTATTACTTCCACTCTTATAAGTTATATAAGTATTAACCACATCAAGATCATATGATACTGCGAAATCCAGGATTCTTTCTACAGTCTCATTCTTCCTTATAAAACCATACCCTCAAAGTACTCTTTCATATCCTCTCCTCTCATTACCTACATGTCCATTCATATCTCCACTTATCACCGCATCCTCATTGCCATGTACCCTTTGTATCACCTCATCCATCTCTGTCCAAAACACTACCTGTTCTATTTCATCACATCTTACTTATGGTGCATAGGCACTTATTACATTCAGGACTTTTTCCTCGAATATCAATTTGACGACTATAATTCTTGCTATAAAACTTGCTGCTCATTAATAAATTAAAAAATTTTGATTTTTGTGATTCTTTATTTTTATGGTTTAGTTCTTTTTTGTAAAATATATTACAAATTGTAAAATTTAAAATAGTTTGATTAAAACCTATAAAAGTTTTATCAGGGGTTTCCCGAAATCACCTTTCACCAACATTATTTTTACAATATATTTATAATATTTAATCAGTTATTAAACTGACTCAAATATTCATTCAAATATTTTATTGTTTGCCTATGACATTAAATTATTTTAAAAAATTAATTCAATTAACGATTAGCATGATTTACAAGAAGATTTCAATACATTTAATAATTGGTGAAAAGATAAAGTATCAAATTTACATATAGACTAAATGATCTCTATCGATATAGTCGATTCAATTAATGATTTAGGTGTTAAATTTTATTCTAAATTGTTTTTTCAGTCATATTGAAAACATTACAAATAAAGCTTTTAAAACTGTAGGATTTATTACTCGCACATGTTCAAATTTTTATAATCTTAGTGCTTTTAAAATATTATATTTTACATTTTAAGATCTCATTAAAAATATGTCTCTCTTATTTGGTTTAATAATAGTTTGAATATCATTCATAATCTTGACACAGTCCGAAACTGTTTTCTAAAGTTTTTACATATGTTTTAAATTTATATTGATCATTCTAAAAATTACAGCTGTATATTCTATTTTATTTCTACAAAATATGATATATTGTTTTAAAATACTTAATTATTACAAATACAAAATATTATACTTGATTATGAAGTTGTGTAACTCTTTATTAGTTATAATATTGTTTTTTTATATACTATACGTATAGTTAAATTGTAAATGTAGTTTTTTCTGGCATTATGAATAAATAAATGAATATTTTATTTTTACGTAAAATTTATTTCGGGTAATAAGTTTGTAACAATTGAAAAATGATTATAGGAAAATAATAAAATATTTATTAAAACTAATCTTTTCTTTTAATTATATGCTGTTGTAAAAAACTTCTACAACCTTAAAACGATAGTTATACAATATCAAGAAGGACGCCTAAATTATAAAATGTATTGTATTTTTTTAAAAATACAAAAAATAATTCTTTTTAATTATATCTAACTATAAAATAATTTATGTAGTCATACAAGGTGATTTATTTATATGAATTTCAATAATTCGAAATTTTCAGTTTTAGGTGAAATAATGTCTCATTGTTCAGCTAACCATATTTTAAGTAATTTTAACGACATGTCAATCAAGCAAATTTCTAATAACTTTTTGGAAGAACTTAAATTTGGTAAATATTTGTAAATTGCTTATTCAGTGGTTAATCTAAAATTCTTTTTTGTAAAAAGTTTTCACTTTATTATTTTTTACTTATCATTTAAAAAAATTATCTAAAAGATATTGAGCAAAATAATATAACTAAAGAGGTGTAAATTAATTTACAAAAATATCAAAAATAGATACTTATTTCGTGGAGGCTATAACTCTTAACCAACACTTAGTTGCATCATAATTCTAAAGCACATACATAATATTTTTAATTTGTTAAAATAATTGTTAATTTGTTAATAACTAACATAATAAACACTATTTTATTGTCAAGAGTCTTAAGAATTAAAAGCTACTAGTACTAAATTTTTATATCATAGTTTTATTATTTTGTTGTTCGTTCAGTTAATAATAATTTTTTATATATAATTAGATGAAGAAATTGATTCGTGGCCATTAATGAAAACACCATGGCCTATATTAAGTATTCTTGCAGTTTACTGGTTGTTTGTGGTGAAAGTAGGACCAAAGTGGATGGAAAAACGAAAACCGTTTAATTTAAAATATATTATGATGATTTACAATCTTTCGCAGTTATTATTCAATGGCTACATGCTATGGCGAGTTAGTAAAATTTAACTATTATTTTATTTATATTTATTGTATTATTTGAACAATTTTTGTGATACATGGAGGTTCAAAATGTTTAATTTATTTTTTTTATTGCTATATAGTTGCTTTTTATAGTAAGTCTTAGACTATACTCAAGTTAAAAATACAGCGTTTCCTTAAATCTTTATTTTATAATAACTGCTACCAAATTTCAATCAATTCTTGTTTATGAAAACTAGTGCGTGTTATGAGTACGCACAAATGAAGTGGAACTTCTTTTAGAGTCATTCAACTAAAAGAATATTAAGTTTATATTAGAATAAAATAAAAAAAAAACCCCAGCACAGTGGGGTGGCGGCACAGTGGGGTGGCGGCACAGTGGGGTCGTGGCATAGTTGGGTCCAGTATAGATGATATCTGACAGTGATTAAAATCACTATCATAAGAAACGCTTCGATGCAAATCTGTAGATAGTGTTTAATTAAAAAAAAAAATTGTTAAAATAACATATTTTTGAATATGGTAGCCATTTGCAGATAGAAGATAGGTCGTCGGGACAAATTTTTTTTTTCATTTTATAGTACATAAAAAAAGCTTTAATTTGATATATGTCTGAAGGACGCAGTATTTCCGGAACATTTTCAAAAATTAAGTTAAAAAAATTATGTTGATTTGTTGATTTTTCAAAATGTTATGGAAGTTTTAAGAAAAAAAAGTGAAAAAATTTCAAAAATTAGCGATTTTTAAATTTGTAATTTTTTTGGAGGTTTCCCCCATTTACGGGGAACGAGGGAAATTTTTTCAATTTTGAAGGGTAATGTCTTCGACTAGATTCGATTTGTGATCTTTTGACGTATCCTTGAAAGAAATCCGTTCGGTGAGAGCTGAGAAAAAGTGNGATTTGTGATCTTTTGACGTATCGTTGAAAGAAATCCGTTCGGTGAGAGCTGAGAAAAAGTGGTAACAGACAAAAAAAAAAAAAAAAACACATCATAGTAAAATTAATATCTTCTCCACTTCGCATCGAAGCTAACATACAATAAAATTTTTATTTTCAGTTAAAGTCAATTTAATTTAATATTAATTTTCTTATTCTATTATCACGAAAAATATAATGATCTTATGATAAATAAAATATCTAATATAAATTTTTGATTAGACGTTATGAAAATATCGTGTAAGAATTGCATCTATTGTTGTTTTTTAAAAAATTTTCACGCACAATCAAAATTATTTGAAATTAAATTATTTAATGGTATTTAAATGATATTACTTTAATTTTCGAAAATACAAAGCTAAATTATAATATAAAAAACGGTAGCACAGATGGTCGCAGCACAGTGTGCAATTGGCATAGTTGAGACAAATATAGATGATATCTAAAGATTAAATCACTGCCATAAAAAACGCTTCGATGCAGATCTGTAGATAGTGTTTAATTTAAAAAAAAAAATTTCTTAAAATAGCATATTTTTGAATATAGTAGCCATTTGCGCATAGGAGATAGGTCGTCGGGACAAATTTTTTTTTTTCATTTTATAGTACATAAAATAAGCTTTAATTTGATATATGTTTGAAGGACTCAGTATTTCCGGAACATTTTCAAAAATTAAGTTGAAAAAGTTATTTTTTGTAAAAAGTTACTATTTTAAATCCCCCCAGTGAGCAGAATAAGTTTTAGATTTTCAAAAAAAATGATATCAAATGAAAGGGAAATATCTAAGGTTTCAATACAAAAAAATACAGCACAGGGGGGTCGCGGCACAGTGATGCCATGGCATAGTTGGATCAAGTATAATGATATCTGACAGTGANATTTACAAAAAAAATATACCAAATGATAGGTAAAGACATCAAGCATCTATATAAAAAAAAATTATATTGATATGTTCATTTTTGAAAAAGTTACGGCAGTTTTTAGTAAAAAAAATTGAAAAAATTTCGAAAATTAGCGATTTTTAAATTTGTAATTTTTTTGGAGGTTTCCCCCATTTACGGGGAACGAGGGAAATTTTTTCAATTTTGAAGGGTAATGTCTTCGACTAGATACGATTTGTGATCTTTTGACGTATCGTTGAAAGAAATCCGTTCGGTGAGAGCTGAGAAAAAGTGGTAACAGACACAAAAAAAATAAATAAATAAAAAATAAAAAATAAATTCATCTTAGTAAAACCAATACCTTCTCAGCTTCGCATCGAAGCTAAAAATATATAATTTATTACTTACTATTATTATTTACTAATAAATGTATATATATAATATTTATTTTTATTTACATGTTATTATAAAATAAAACATTGAAAAATTAGCCAATTCTGGTCAAAATTTTATTATTTGATAACGTATAATAGTGCAATAGAATTTTGACATTATACCTAATAATACAATAGAATCCGTCTGCTATGGCCAAACGTTACGGCCGACAGTGATGCGCGATAATCTTCTTTTATTTCTGTAAAGAAGTTTCACTCCAAAAATGCGGATCTACACTACTCCGTTTTTTAACTGAATTGTATAGTGAAATTCAATATTATGATAATAATTATTTTTTTAGTTATATTAAAGAGAAATATTGCATTATTTCTACTCAGTAACGTTGTCAGGAGAGATTGATGGTTAATATAATTACATGATGAAAATACAGATTTATATGATTATTAAAAAATTATCTTAAGTTTATACTTGTGTTGACAAAATCTTAATCACACCACGGTCCCTAATATTTAATTATGAGTCCGTTAAATTTGCTTCGGAAAAAGAATCAACAAAATTATCAATGAGCTAAAATAAAATATTTGTGAATTAAATTTATTGAGAAGATTCTTCGGAATCGCATTCTTTATCTGTAAAATTTAAGTATTAAGTAGACATATTGAGGCCGTGTAAATCATACATTTTAACGTTGCCTATGATACTGAATTCCTCCTACCATAAGCGCAACGACATTTAATCCTCAACACATCGGCCCTTTGACTCAAAGGGTAATTGGAGGTTATCGACTATATAGCTCATATAGTCGATAACCTCCAATTACTCATCCTCGCTGTAAAGCGAAATTAAAACAAAATAAACAATATTAAATTATCCAACACACAGTTTACCAACATCCGCGCCAAAAGCGTTTCAGGTTTTTTATCAAATAATAAAAAATCATTGGCGGCTAGTAGTTTGGACGACGGGACGATCGCACTCTCTACTAAAATTAACTGTATATTCTCAATTCTACATTTTTATTACAAATGCAATTTTTTAAATAGTAAAATAGTTATAATACATTTGTCGTGTGCGACACATTTAAGTTGTTTCCCTCAATATATACGGGTACACATCCACACACGAGCATGTTTGTACAACCAACAGCGTTGTCCGAACAATATATTGAAATGTATATTACAAACGAGTCGTACGGGCGGGTACAGTTAAGCTGCAATCTTATGTACGGGTTTTGGACGACCGGCAACGTCGTCCATACAGTAAAATATTAGTATATTACTATATTGGGTAATTTATTTTTAGAATTAGGTGACTTCAAGGCTGGTACTTTAATGCAGGGAAACTTTAAAATCACTAGCAAGGTTCAATAAGGTTACCCTGGCATGGGTACCAGGACACAGTAGTGTGATTGGTATTGAAAAAGCAGAATTTCTAGCGAGAATACATGCAGAAAACACGTATGTTAGACCAAAACCAGTGGTAGGACTCACAAAGCAATTTCTCAAAGTACTATCCAAAAAATAGTATAGAGAACAACACAAAAAAATATGGTGTTACCTAGTGGTACCCAGACAATAAAAAATGGTTATCAAGACTTCTGGTCTACTACCTACCGAGGGATCTTAATATATGACTAGATATCAAATAAGTACTTTGACTGGATTACTGACAGGAAACGGTCATCTGCTTAAACATCTTTAGACAATGGCAGTGACAAAATCACCACTGTGCAGGAAGTGTGGAACAGAAGAGAAAAATTCATTTAACAATATATGCGAATGTGATATCCTGGCAACATTAAAGTCTAAACATTTGGGAAAATATTTTTCGAAAAATAAGATATCAAAAACCTAAAACTCAAAGAGATATTTAATTTTGCTAGAGAGAGAAGACTATTTGAATATATATAGGTGCGGCTTAGTAAGACGTCTTATATATAGTATTAGGTATTCAAAAATAGCAATATCACTTCGATGTGAAGAAATTGAATTAATATAATTCGGTAGGAGGTGCGCACAATAGACTTATAGGTCTGAGTGCATAGGCAGTTCTTGCTCACCTCTATGACAACTAAAACTAAGTTCTCAATACAAACATGTTTGTATTGTTGTATTTAAAATACGTAACAACCTTTTTATTCTAACTTATAGTAATAATAATTTAATAATAACGCAAATGTAATTAATAAAGATATAATCAAACAAAGTAAAACATACAAAATAATGATACACTTAAAACAGGATAAATAAATAATACACAAAATGAAAACTTAATGTCACAAACGTACCACGCGAAAAGAGATTACCTTCGGTACTCTCGAGGTCTTCTCTCTCCACCTTTTCAATTCATTCCATTTCGTCTAATAAACTAAAATATTTTGTTTTTCTTTTTTATAAAATTCATAATGCAATCATTTTCAAAAATGTTTATAAATATTTACTTCCTGGTCTAGTAACAATAATTCGGGGAATTACAATTAATCCAAACATTACAAAAGTGTTCTACTTCTAGGTTTACAAATAATAGACTATATTATATTTTGTAATAATAGATCAAGAAAGTACAATTAAACCAAACATTACAAAAATGCTTTATTTTCAGTTTTACAAAATAATGACCTATATTGCAGTATTTTTATTCTATGTTTAACTTATCGGAGTGGTTGGTTGGTCTTTAAAGTGGTATACCAGGACACCAAACCATTAGTAAATTAACGTGTGCATGGTAAGCAATTTACCACTTATTACCCCAGCTCCAAACAAGATAAGAACTTAACTTCACTATTGTTTAGTTGCGATATAAATGTTTTGGATTTAACTTGGTAATGTTATTAAGCGGAATCGCCCTTTATGACCACCTTAACAACGCTATAGCCATTTTATGATTTCAATTTAATAAAGTATTTGAATTATAGATAGTTTATTCTTCATTGTCACTAAAAATAACAAAATATGACAATATTTTGGCAGTGTTATGCACAAAAATAGTTTACTATTTATCATAGAAAGACATATTTTTGGGTATAGGTGGAGTGCTAGCCATAGAGTGTGCCATCGCTATATGTTACCATATAGTGAAGAACAATTTAGAATTGTTTTTTTAAATAAAATTTTTTGAAAAATCTAATAAATTATAAGTTTCCAACAAAAAGATCAAGAATTATTGACATTAATTTTTTTAAAACTGACTTTTACTATTATGTTTACATATTAATACATTAATATATATTGCCATTTATCAAGAAAAATTATAGTTCTACAATTATAATAATTAATTAATAATAAACAACTTTTCTCTGGTTTTAAGGTTTACAAGCCTGATGTAATCAATTCTCTTTGGAAACATAGGTGTAGCCTAGACGAAGAAGATCATAGTGAAAAACGTTTTGTTTATATTACTGTAAGTTTGATAACTCTTTAGATTAAATATATCAGTAATATCTGTAATTTTATAGTTTGAAGAATTGTTGTTGAAAATATAGTACTTTTATTCATTAAATTTTAAAGAACGAAAAAGAGTTCATTATAAATTAGTATTTTTAAAAAAATGATAACTCAACAAAATTAATAAAAATTCATATCATTTAATTCTGTAGCTTGTATGACACAAAAATTGTTTTTTGAGATTTTCTTCAGACTTATAAAGGATAATTATTTCTTTCCGTGACAAAAAATACGATTAATTTTAACAGGAAAGTTAGATTTTTACGGTTCAAAAATTTTGATTTGCATAAGATACCATTAAAATTTTTTATTTGTTATTGCTTTCCTATAAAATTGCTAAAATTTACATATCAACATTTGGAAAGTAACCAAAAAATTATTATTTTACCTTTAACTTAAATAATTATAATTGTATTAATTTTTCAAAATAAATTTAATTCTTAGATTTTTGACATTCTTTACGTTTTCAAAACCAACTCTTCAATTATCAATCAATTACACTAGTTTACCAAAAAAAAAAAATTTTCTGACCCATGATTTATGATAGTCATTTTTTATGTAAAATCGTCCACTAAGTTCGAAAATGAAGTGCAAAATACAAAAAGTAGANCTTATGATAGTCATTTTTTATGTAAAATCGTCCACTAAGTCCGAAAATAAAGTGCAAAATACAAAAAGTAGAACAGTTTTTGAGTTATTGCGAAATTAGCGTTTTTCGTGTGCCGCGAAAAAGTGTTTTCATTATATTCTAAATATCTTTAATTGCATTCAATCGATTTTCATTTTTTTTACATAAAATTAAACAAATATTGAAAAATATAGAAAAAAATATTGAAAAATTACTCACAATATTAGGAAAATTTACCACAACCCCACCAAACTGTAAAATTAACTCAATTTAAACATATCCCAATAAAACTATATGAAATAACCTTAAATTATTTAAAAAATTAAAATTTTGTCTTAAAAAGTAATATTGTGAGTAATTTTTCAACATTTTTTTCTATATTTTACAAAATTAAAGCACCGAATTAAAAAACTCTGATATTAGGAAATTTGTTTTATTTTTTAATCGCGCATAATTTCTTCTTTTTTTAATCAATATTACAAAATAATATATCATTTTCTTTGTTATGTATTAGAGTATAATTTCTTTTGAATATATTGTTGTTAAATTTTTTTTATTGGTGTATTTTATGTAAAACTCTGATTTTTTCTGACATTTTGAGAAAAATTATAAAAATTCATAGGTAAATTTGTAGATAGCAAACGAGAAAAGAGTCAGATAAAAAATTGTTTATGATAAAAGTTATAGATAATTTAATATTGTTTAATATTTTGTAAAAAAAATGATAATCGATTGAATGCAATTAAAGATATTTAGAATATAATGAAAACACTTTTTCGCGGCACACGAAAAACGCCAATTTCGCAATAACTCAAAAACTGTTCTACTTTTTGTATTTTGCACTTTATTTTCGGACTTAGTGGACGATTTTACATAAAAAATGACTATCATAAGTCATAGGTCAATTTTGTTGTAAACTAGTGTAATTTTTGTTAAACAAAAAAATTATTTATTCTAGGCTAATGAAATTGTATGGCTTTATATTATGAACAAAATAAGTGATTTATTGGATACGGTGAGTACAATTAAACATTGAGTGATGAGATTATTTAACTTATTTTATTTATTGATTAGTGGTATTACATGATACCTTACAGTACAATTAATATTATTTTATGTTTTAACAGTACCTAAAAAGTTAGTAATTTATCATTAACAAAATTGACATTTTACATATTACACATAAAAAATTAATTATTGTTTAGATATATCTTTAAACTTTGATGACGAATAAACGATTTATAGTTAATCGAAGTTCCACTGTATGTTATATTTATAGGTTTTCTTTGTCTTGAGGAAAAAAGAATCACATGTAACATTTTTACATTTATTTCATCATATGGATATGTCTTTTTCCATGTGGATATATTTGAGAATTATAAAAGGTAAGCTTCCTTTTATACTTCTTTTAAAAGTAGTTGGAATATATTACTTCTTTGGTGAATGTAGAGGTTATGATTTGTTATACAGAGTGTTGGTTTAATGTATGTCACGACTAGTAAGGCGATATTCAGTAGGACTTAAAAATAGCGAAATAAAAAACTAAATTTTCCCATCTCTAAAATTGGGGTTTTCTAATTTCTCTACTTCAAATTTTATTAAAATTAAAAATAAACATCGTCGCGTTATTTTCCACGAAGTCCTCATACAAAATGAGTTACCACTCGATTTTTTTGTAAATTTCGAGCCCTCCCTTGAATTTTGGGTTTAAAGTTGGAAAAAAATTTCACTTTAGTGTGACCCATCAATTTGTATTGAAATTTCACTGGGAGTCCCGTGATGTGGTTTATATATAGTTTAAAAGATTATATAACGAGAAAAACCCATGGATAATGTGATATTTTTTCAATTTCATGAGTTTATTTCGTCTTTTATTATTTATTCTAACTTATAAAAATTTTTCCCTACTGACTATCACCTTACAAGTCGTAGAATACATTAAACCCCGTATATTTATCATCCGATAATTTAAAAGTAAAATTAGGTTTCTAAATCTATTAATTGTATTTTATCAATTTATTTATAAATACAAAGTTTTTGTATTCTAACTAAGAAAATAACAGGTTAAAAACAGCTTTTGAACCAGTATTTTTTAATTATGAATATTTCTTTACCTGGTTGAGAGGAGGAGCGCGATAGAGTAATGCATAATGACAAAAATAAAACACACACTTTGCATCCAGTATGTACTTTAAAAGGGTAATGAAATTATCACTTGAACATTTTTAGACCAATTTATTGTGTTACTTGGTTCTATAAACATGATTGTGCACATGATTATGTATAGCTACTACTTTTTAGCATCACTTGGACCCAAAATGCAAAAATATTTATGGTGGAAAATATACTTGACACGTTTGCAAATAGTAAGTACATAAACCTCAATAGATAGAAAAATTTAATAATCTTTATTTGAAATATCATCTGGTTATAATTATTTATGTACTATGCAAAAATTTTAAAATAATTGTCAACATTATACCTCATAAATAATATTACATTGCGACTATGAGGGTTGATGTGAACTGGCTTTTCTCTACCTAATTGTAAATTTGTAATTTAAAAGTGTATAGTAATCATACTTTTTCTTAATGTATAAAGTATTAATTGAGCAAGCATCTAGTAATCTGGAACATTTGGTGCTCGCTTAGTGTATAGAGTCCACGTCCGCCACCGCCCGAGGCTACGCGTCAGTGGTGTAGTTCATAAAGTCGAAACCGGACGACTCCTCACTGTATCTTTTCACTAAATCTTTTTGTGTTACTCGCTGAATTTGTTAAATAATAATTTGGTTTTTTTACAGGCTCAATTTGTGTTTGTAATTATATACCTCGGATCATTATATACTGTTGATTGTTCTTTTCCAAAGATTTTTACTATATATATGATTACACATATTGCATTGTTTTTATATATGTTTATAATATTTTATAAGAAAACTTATCAAAAAACAAAGTCTGAGTAATGAACTTTATTTAATTATGATTAGTATTGTATTTAATATATGTATAAATATATATTTGGATTTGAGTTTGAGTAAAATTGTTTATTTATTGTTTCTTCTGATATATTTTGCATGAAAAATTTTATTTGTTTTATCTATGACTATGTATTTAATAAATAATCATCGATAAAATATTTTAGATTGTTTGAAACAGTCACTATAATGGCTACATTTTTGTTTACCACTGTATTGAGATAACACTCTAATTTAAGCAAAACCATCAGCCATAGGGTGATGCACTGCAATCAAATTACGATTGAGTTCATGCATTTGACAATACTTTTCAAATTCGACAGATATAAAATCCGATCTTCGGTCTGTGGTCAAACCCTTTTTTTTTTTTTTTTTCTCCGATCGGCTTGATTGTGGACCGCCCTGGAACTACCGTTAGGTATTACTTCAGGGTGGCCCACGCCGTCTTTAAAACTCACACCACCACGTTGTGAATCAGCCCGAAATTAATCAAGAGCTGATTCACAACGTGGTGTGGCCTCCCCCGTTAAAGCGAAGGGGGCACAAATAACTCACGAAACAAAAACAAAAAAACATAAAACACGAATACCTAAGGCGCCGGTCTAAACCAGCGCCTCAGGTCCTCCTGTGCCGGGCGGCGAGGCTGCCTCTGTCTCAGGCGTTCCTCTTCCTCCTTCTTTTTCAAGATGGATCGGCGAACGCCTGGACGAGCCTCCACGCCTCCCGGCTCCTCAACATCAGGTCCACCATGGACCCGACTCGGAACGTGGACCCTAGTCGAGACTCCAAAGAGTCCCGTTCCTGGGCCCACGCCTCGCACCGGAAGAGGGTGTGCAAAGCGCTATCAGCCTCTCCCGGGCGATCCGAACAGTGGTCGCACGTCGGCGCGGCTGCTTTACGAATACGGTGTAAGTACTCTTTAAAGCAGCCGTGGCCGGACATCACTTGGGTGAGACGATAAGTCATCTCACCGTGAGTCCGGTCCACCCACCTGTCCAGCCGATCGGGTCCTATGAGGGACCTGGTCCACTCGCCTCTCGTTTCCTCCGAGAGGCGAGTCCGCCACCGGAGCATGGTCATCCGCCTGAGCGCCAGCCGGTCCTCGGGTTCGAGGGACCGGTTGTGCTCTCGGCGGAGCTCATGCCCGGCGGCGCGTTCCTCGGCGGGCGGCAATGACGACAGGATACCCGCCGCCACTCCGGACACCGTTCGGTAAGCCGAAACTGTCCGGATCGCCGCCCGCCTCTGCACCCTGAGCAGGGCTTCACGGTTTTTGGACGAATACTCAAGAGTATCCGCCCAAACCGGGGACCCGTACAGGAGAACCGAGTGTACGACGCTGACTAAAAGTCTACGCCGCATCTCTCTCGGCCCTCCCAGATTGGGCATGAGTCCCGCCAGACAATTCATGACTTTCTGGGCCCGCTCTGCCGCACGAGTAATGTGCGGCCCGAACTTTAGACGTTTGTCTATGACAAACAAACAAGATAAGTCATGGAGTCCTTAAGCGGTATCTCCACCCCCAGCACGGCTAGCCGTGGAGGAGAGAACTTGTACTTGCCCGTGAACAAGACCGCTTCGGTCTTGTCCAGGGCAAGTCTAAGTCCACTCCCCTCCTGCTGGATCCAGGCGGAGACTGCGCTGAGCGCGCAGTTCGCCCGGGATCCAGCATCCTCGGCCGAGGCGCCTTCCGCCACCACCAGCGTGTCATCCGCGTAGCAGACAACACGCACGTGCGGTGGTAGCGGAACGCGGAACACCGCGTCGTACGCGATGTTCCACAGCAGAGGCCCGAGAACTGACCCTTGCGGGACGCCTTCCGTAACAGGTCTGATTCTCGGGCCCGCGGCGCTCTCGTAAGAGATGACCCGATCGCTAAAGTACGACCGGATCATCCGCCCGAGGTAAGGAGGCACCCGAAACGCGTCTAGCGCTCCTAGGATGTGTGACCATCGCACGGAGTTGAACGCGTTTCGGATGACCAAGCTCACCGCCACCCCGAAACCCTGCTCAGTTTTGGCCCTGAGGGCCAAATCCCTGAAGAGGGAGGCCGCGTTGTCCGTCGACCTCCCACTCCGGAAGCCGAACTGGCCTTCGGCCAGTCCGCCGACGTCGGCTAGGGCTTCGATCCGGGTGACGAGCAGCCGCTCGAGGATCTTCCCCAAGTCGTCCAACATGCAAAGCCGTCGGTACGACGAGGGGATCGATGCGAAGCTGAGAAGGTATTAATTTTACTATGATGTGTTTTTTTTTTTTGTGTCTGTATACGTTCAATCTCAGCTCTCGCTGAACCGATTTTGATAAAAAATATGTCAAAAGATCACAAATCGTATCTAGTCGAAGACATTGCCCTCAAAATTTGAAAAAATATCCCTCGTTATTCGCAAACGGGGTAAATCCCCCAAAAAATTAAAAATTTAAAAATCGCTAATATTCGATATTATTTCAATTTTTTTTACTTAAAATTTCCATAACTTTTTTAAAAATAACCGAATCAATATAATTTTTTTTTATAGATACCTTAGGTATTCACCTATCATTTTATATAGTTTTGTGAACATTTGACCCTTAACAAGCCCACAGGAAGGATTTCAAAATTGTAACTTTTTTACAAAAAATTAAATTTTTCAACTTAACTTTTGAAAATGTTCCAGAAAGACTGACACTTTTATATATACCTTAAATTAAAGCTAATGTAATATTCTATAATTTGAAAACAAAAAAATTTGACCTCTGGACTTGTCATCGTGGTGAAAATGGACATCAAAATTAAAGAAAAACGTACGATTTTCGTGAAAAAATTCTCGATTTTATATTATGTAACAATTATAAAATTAATTAAGTTTTGAATATTTCAATTGCAGAATTTTTCAAACATCAAAAGTTACTAGGAAATTATTACAATTACTTCTATTTCAGTTATCTATTACGATAAAAATGCAAAAATATATTGAGCTTTTCTGATAAATTTACAATAAATAGCAATTATAAAATTTTCTGACTGCATATTAATCTTAACGATACAATTTTTTTAATTCTCATAAAATTTTCTATTTAATGATGTCAATTTCAAACTAGCCAATTGAGCTAAAAGTTATGGTAAAATAAATTTTTTTTTTTATTATAAACATTTACAAAAATCAACTTTAAACGATTAAAAAAATAGGTTAAATATGTCATTTTCCTTATTTTTAACACGTTAATAATCAAAATCAGTAATAATTTAAAACAATTTTTTTTTTCTTAATTATTTTTTCTTTATATGTAAATACTATTTTTTAATAATATTGAAACTTAGAAGTGATAGAAAAAGTCTAATTGCACATTTGAAAACATCGCGAAAAGTTGATTTAGAATGTTATATTTTTGTTTCTGATGAAAGTTCCTTGTAGTCCAGTGTACAAACTTATAACTTTGTTAACTGTTATAACTTTATCAAAAATTACCAAATCAGTATATTTTTTTATTTATTTAGATGCATGTCTTTACCTATCATTTGGTTTTTTTTTATAAATCTAACCCTTTACCTGCTCACAAGAAGGATTCAAAATGATAACTTTTTTTTTAGCTTCGATGCGAAGCTGAGAAGGTATTGGTTTTACTAAGATGTGTTTATTTATTTTTTTTTGTGTCTGTTACCACTTTTTCTCAGCTCTCACCGAACCGATTTCTTTGAATGATACGTCAAAAGATCACAAATTGTATCTAGTCAAAGACATTACCCACAAAAATTGAAAAAAAATCCCTCGTTCCCCGTAAATGGGGGAAACCTCCAATAAAATTACGAATTTAAAAATCGCTTATTTTCGAAATTTTTTTAATTTTTTTACTTAAAAGTGCCATAACTTTTTCAAAAATGAACATATCAATATAATTCTTTTTTATATAGATGCATAATATCATTACCTTTCATTTGGTATATTTTTTTCATAAATTGAACCCTTAACCTGCCCACAAGGGGGGATTTAAAATGACAACTTTTTCACAAAAAATTAACTTATTCAACTTAACTTTTGAAAATGTTTCGGAAATACTGACACTTTTATATATATCTTATATAAAGGTAATGTAATGTACTTTATCATGGTAAAAAAATATTTCGGACTTTATTTTGTCTTCATGGTGAAAATGGCTACCAAATGCTATTATTGTGTGAAAATTCTCGATTTTATTTTTTACATTTTTAACTTTATAATGCTATGACATATTGAAAAGTGTATTGATCAACATTATTTTTTTATGAGAAATAATATTTTTTAATAATCCCTTTTTCATTCGACATACTTTATCTTAATTAGGATATTAATAATGAACTAGCAGATCATGTAGCTTTTGGAATAATCCACCAATTTTTTAAAATTAAACACTATCTAAAGATTTGCATCGAAGCGTTTTTTTTTTATAGTGATTTTAATCACTGTCAGATATAATTATACTTGATCCATCTATGCCACGTCACCACTGTGCCGCGACGCTCCTGTGCTGGGTTTTTTTTTTTTAGTTAAAGTAAATCATTAAAATTAATTCAGTTCTGGATATTTCAATTATAGAATATTTTTAAATACCAAAATTTACTTAGAAATTATTACTATGATTTCTATTTAAGTGTTCTATTACGATAAAAATGCAAAAAAATAATGAGTTTTTCTGATAAATATATAGTAAATGGTAATTATAAAATTTCCTGACTGCATATTAGTCTTAAAAATAGCATAGTTTTAATTCTCATAAAAATTTCTATTTAATGATGTCAATTTCAAACTTGTAATTGAGCTAAAAGTTATGGTAACATATTCAATTTTTTTAGCTTTGATGCGAAGCGGAGAAGGTATTAATTTTACTATGTTGTAACACTATGTGTTTTTTTTTTTATGTCTGTTGCCACTTTTTCTCAGCTCTCACTGGACCGATTTCTTTCAAAAATACGTCAAAAGATCACAAATCGTATCTAGTTGAAGACATTACCCTTAAAAATTGAAAAAAATTCCCTCGTTCCCCGCAAATGGGGGAAATATCC